ATTGTTCGCAGGCTCATTTAGAATTAAAATAACGCAGGCGTTTATTGACGCATTTTGCAATTTGGATATTATGACACAAAGGACGCATTTGGATGATTTTTGACGTGGTAGAATTATCGGCGTCTGGAATGTGTGCGTACCCAACTGGAAGTATCAGACGAACTTGGAATTGCCCAGAGTGTCATCTCCAGGCTTTGGCAATGATTCCAAGATGATGGTAATGTGAGTAGACGTTACAGCACAGGTCGCCCCAGAGTTACAACGCCGAATGAGGACCGTATTTGGTAGTTACTGCCAAAAACAGGCGGAGCACAGCCTCAGACCTGTCTCGTCAGCTCTCTTCAGCCACTGGTACGACAATTTCAAGGCAGACCGTGTACAGACGCTTAGGGCAGTTGGTCTATATGCTCGTAGACCTGTCAGATGCGTTCCACTTACTGCAACTCACTGTCGCCTGCGGTTAGCCTGGAGTAGAGAGCATGCATTGTGGACACCGCAACAGTGGGCTTGTGTGATGTTTTCCGATGAGTCCAAGTTTAGCTTGCAGTCTGATTGTCACCGGACTTTCATATGGAGAGCTCCAGGTACCCGTTACCACAAAGAAAACATCACTGAACGATACCGTTACGGTGGTGCAGGAGTGCTCGTTTGGGGTGGAATTATTCTGGGTTCCAGAACTGACCTGTATGTTCAAATTGGAACCATGACAAGCCAAATCTATCGGGATGTCATTCTGGAACAACATGTACGTTTGTTTTGGGGCGCCATGGGCGCATAATTTGTGTTTATGGATGACAACGCTCGTCCTCACCGTGCAAACATCGTAAGCGAATGCCTTCAATCGGAGGATATCACCCGTATGGACTGGCCAGCATTCTCACCGAACTTGAATCCAGTAGAGCACGTGTGGGATATGCTTGGCCGACGAGTTTCAGCCCGTCAACCTACTCCTACATGTCTACCGGAACTTCGGAGAGCATTGCTTTTTGAGTGTTGTAATATCCCCCAAGAGCAGATCGATAATTTGATACTCAGCATGCCTAGGCGTTGTACGGACTGTATTGCATCGTCTGGGAGACATACAATGTATTAACAATCATACCAATCATGTAATATTGTTTTTATGTAAATAGTTTTTTTTTAATTTGCTCCAGGGAGAAAAAATCGCTAATTTTTTTAATAATATCAAACATATAACATCTCTTTTTGCTCTTTACCTTTTGTTTAATAAATAAGCTTTATGAATAAGTCAAATTTGTTTTGCTTCTAACTCTTCCTTTGCCTGATTTTGCATTATCCTTAATTTATGGACATGAGTGTATATAAAATGTGCCACCGCTCTAGATGCCTCCGCTGACGCGTCGCAGAAAGTATAAACTTTTACCGAATGACCTTTACCTAGAACTTCTGCAAAGTAGTACCGCTCTATTTTCAAATCGTTTAATTCCTTAATTTCAGTGCACCACTTTATCCATTTGTACTGTAATTCTTCCCCCCCCCGGGGTCGAAAGGGGGCAATCCGTGACGCTCTGGCTAAGATCAGTACTTAGACTGGCTCGGCTCCTGGAGTACGTAATCAATCTTCAGAGTGACTAGAACTATGGTTTATTCAACTGTAGGTTCAGGCTCGGTAAGGACCCTATTGATACTGTCTTGTCTTCCCTTGGTTTTGGGGACGTTGCATGGTTAGATATCCAGGCTGTCCTTGGGTGTTTGACTCCCTTGGTCAACACTGGGGAGGGGTGGAGTCTTTGATCTGTCTTCGTTCTGTTTGTGGGTGATTGCTTGTCGGTCGCCACTGACACGTAATGCATAAATCTTGGCTGTGTGCAATTTTTGTCCTCTATGTTAACCGGGGGGTATCTCTCTTTGGATCGCCTTTAGGGTTTGGGGCATTTAGAATTATGTATGGGCTTAATAAAGCCCAGGTATCTGTTCGCAACTCTGAATCCCAATTCAAACCCTTCCATGTCTTAATTCGCACCATAGAAGGAAAATAAATCCTACTGGATCAAACACCTTAGCTACTGTACTTAAGACTAATCTTTTACTATTTCGCAACGATTCTAAACTACTCAATGGTATAACGTCTACTCTTAAAACATCCTCTTCCAAGTTTCCCGCCTGGTCTAACGCTTTTAACTTCCTATCCATGTCGGCCCTATTGTTTTTGCATGATCTATTTTGAACCATAAGTCATACAGCTCTTTAGAATTAGTGTTTAGCTTTCTGAAATCGAAAGTCGCATCTCCCAGAATAGGTACCACTTCTGATGAAAGATTGAAAGCTGGCTCTATACTTTTCGCTCCATAACACAAATAATCTGCATAAGGTGAGATATTTAACATCTCGATACAGTTTTTGTTTGTTTCTGAGTATTCTCTAAATGATATTTGATCATTGTATTCAATAAAAAGGTGAATAGTTACATCCAAATAATATTCTATTCATTTCATAATTTTAAAGTCCTGTCTATCATTATCAGGATACCGCAAAAATTTTAAATATTGTCTATTCTCCTTTGCTATCCGAATCATCAAAAACGCCTTTTCTATGTCACTGCAAAATCCAGTTTTAAATTTTCGAAAAGCAAGAATGATATTCAAAATATTCGGATTTAGGTTTGGGCCTTTTCAGAAGAGTTGAGTCTTTTAACGATAGCGTTGCTCTTTCGCAAATGCTGCATTTAAATACCATTCGAAGTTGAGTACTTTATGTTTACAGACCGCTGCTCGAAATGGCATGAACATCCCTTTCTTGTATCCTGATCAGTTAGTTGGGAGTATATTCATATTAAGGGAGAAAGAAGTGCTATTGAAGCGAAGTTTCGAACGCTGATTTTAGAGCGCATTGCGCCAGTTGAAAGGCCACGTTGTTACCTTGACTTAACAGCGATTTGAGTCTGTGACGTTGAGGCTTGCTCTGCCGGTTTCTATGAACCAGAGCCTCCCTGCATTTAAACTGTCTAATTACATTTCATGTTTAAATTTAAGCCAAAAGTGTTGGCTGATGTAAGCCCAAGTGGGGTCATCTGTGAACGCTTTGTAATCGAATATACGGTCAGTTACTCTCTTCTGACTTCATCATAAAACCACAGGATAATTCCTCTACAGTCTTTCTAGAGCTCGTTACCTAATAATACGAGACTCTCTAATTTTATCTTTATTATATGTATATATTAAGCCTAAATCAAGGCTCCTCCTGGTATTGTAATCTCTGCTTATGAAAATTATCAAAAAAAAAAAAAAAAAAAAAAACGCGGGGAGGAGCCATATACCTGTTAATCTCTGTTAGCGACCAAGTGACCCCACCCTTCGTCATCTCTCACCTGTTCTCATATTGTTATGGGATTGGATTCGGGGAAACCTTTTTCCTTATTTTTTTGCCAGGTGGCATTTTGCTTAACAGCTACAATTATATCGGCAGGGCATCGCAATCAGATGGAAAAAAAATATAAACTCCTCTCTTTGTTTTTGAAGCTATACTTCTCAGTTAAAAATTTCTCTCCATGCTCTCATATTGTTTCTAGCATTCTGTCTATTCTCATTAGTGACGCTTTTACCATTTTACATTTTTTGCATCGGTGTGCTAGAAAAAGAATGGTTTTTGCTTCCCTCATCCCTTGAAATAGTATCTTATGTACCGTATATTCAGGGTTTAAATTAAGTCGGAGGCCGGCTGAGCTATTTGTTAGTCTTTGAATGAAGTTGTAAGTACAGCCAGAGCCTCAACTAAGACACGATTTGATATTTAATTTCTTTTATTTAACTATTCAGCATGAATTTAAGAATTTATCAAATTTTTATTTTTACTTTTATATGTTACTGAATTTTATTTTAATTCAATTTATTAGTCCAAAGGGGCTTTGTCCTTTGTCCCTGAGGGACTATTGTTTTCGTTTTGGCATTTTGGGTTGAAATCTTCAAAAAGCTGTAACACTTTTTAAATTGTTGCCACAAAATATTATCACCCTGTATTATAGTTGAAGAAATTAAATAATGAAGAATCTGCATAAATGCATGAATATTTCTCGCATTGTGAGAAAACAACGGTACCTAAAGCCATCAAATTTTGAATGACGTAATCCTACTGCGAATATGGGCATCTGGAAGCCCAACTTTGAAATTTGGAGTTTGTTTTATTATTGATTTCATATTTTGTAAAACTTTAACAAATTTCTGATTAAAAACTCAAGGATTTCAAAGCCAGTAATGGCAACGTTGTACAGTAAATCTCCAGCGCGTAAGACTGTGTATCGGAAATTCTAAAGATATACTCAGTTTAAAATTATTTGTGATATTGCTCTTGACTGATTTTAGGTTTAAGTGCGAAAACATATATTTAATAAATAAAGGTAACACACAAAATGTTAAAAACGCCCCTTTGGTCGTATTTCAAATCTGAAACCTTTCAGATTTTCTTTTTTTTTTTATTATATTTAATTATTTTAGTTATTAGTTATTTTATTTATTTATTTTTCCCCCTTCTTCTTGAAGATTTTCCTGTAGGGCTCCGACACTTCTTATTTTAGAAATTACGCCTTGCTAAGGAGTAGCGGAGACACAATAAGAACGGGTGCGATTTAAGATACAGGGAAGTATAAAGGAAGATCTTGTTAGATACGAGAGTATCAAATTGCTATGTCTTCTTATTAGAATGCAGGTTCCTTTCGAAGGAATAATATTGTGATTGTTACCTGCAGTTTATCCATAACTACCTTTCATTTGTTTCTTACTGTATGCGTTCTATGGAAATTAAACTATTCACATAGCTTTCCCCTCTCGATTAATTTAATAATAATAATAATGATAAGGAAAACACATGAGGAAATACAGTATATTTTCATCAATATATATTTTATTTTATAGAATTTACTGTAAATATTTCCGAAAAAAATTTTTTTATCTCCATTATTAAGTAGTTTTTAGTCTTACAATACACACAAAACTTGGATACTTCAGATAATTAAAGAAACAAAAATAATAATGGATTTACATTACCATAGCTATTTTAAATCCATCACCTTCTTGACCTAAGAGGTTTTCTCGTGGAATTCTACAATCTTCAAATATCAGATTGCAAGTGGAGGATCCTCTGATACCCATTTTATCTTCCTTTTTACCTAAAGAAAGACCATCTATTGGCTTTGGAACTAGAAAAAAGCTGATACCTTTATGTTTCTTGGATTTGTTGGTAGCAGCAAAAACCTAAGTGAAATGTGAAAAAGAATTACTCATCAACTAATAAAATGTAACTAAACTTTTTATCTAAAAGATGAACTGTTATAAATGTAGAATTTTTTTGCATATTTCTTAAAAAAAAAATAAAAATTAAATAAACTCAGGTACGTTAAAAATTTGCAAACTTCAGACTGCAGTTTAGCACCCTGAAACACCACAATCTATCGAACTTCGTAAAAGCCCTTTCAGAAGTCAGCGTCAATAATTAATATTCAATTTGGCTATATAAAATTATATATTCAAAAGATGTGTAATGTGAGATTGTGTAATGTGATACATACATACATATATATATATATATATAATATATATATATGTATATATATGAAAATATCATAAAAAATACATACTAATAAGCTAATCACAGTGTTTTTTGGACAGTAGATTCCAAATTTCATTTGACCGTTTGAATTTCAAAGCAGTGCAATTCTTGTGAGGTATTTTGTAAGATCAATGGATAATATTTATTTAATGAAAAATGACGTAAGAGAGTAAAATTATTCTCTGCGAATTTTGCATAAAAGCTATAATTATCTTTGGCTTTGGTTCATCAATAATAACATATGGGATTTATTGCTATAATAATGTAATTTTAATAATTATTACAAATTATAATTAATTTTTTGAAACAACTGGGACTTTGTACACTGCGGGGGGGGGAATGGGACAGTTCTATATCTCCCCTTCTACTGGGCCGATTGACGAAATTCAACTTGCGTTTTTCATGTCTTGAAAGCGCGACTTAGGATATGTTTTAGATTTATATATAGCACTGTTCTAATATAGGTATTTTGACACAATATCGACTTTTTCTGAAATAACATACTAAGTTTTTTTCATATTTCCATTCAACGACTCAAATTACGCCAAACTACCAAGTTTTGTAAAAATCGCACGAGTAGTTTTGCAAGAAAGTTGAGATAAGAAAGTTGAGACAAGTAGTTGAGATAAGAAGAAAGGCAATTTGAATTTTGTCAATCGGCCCAGTTAAACAAGAAATATCGAACTGTCTCCCCCCCTTTTTTTTGCGCATTGTACAATGATTTTATATTTACAGGCCTTTTTCCATTTGTATGATTAAGATTATTTTCACAAAATTATGCACTTTTTTCAAGGAATTTCGGAGGTATTATATATATATGTTTAAAATATATATTTAAAGAAATAAACTAAGCCTTTTTTAACACCCTGAACATTCCAATGCTTCACATGCATATACTAAATCTCACAACTTGAGGCTTATCATTTCTTTTTTCAAAGTGTACCATAATATTCTTACTTCTAGATTCTAATTTTTCAAGGTTAAAAAGGTAGTCTGCTTACCACAGCTGCTTCAGCTTCGTAGCCATTTGTTACCCAAGCTTTGGTCCCATTTAGAATCCAAGAATCTCCATCTAATCGTGCTGTTGTTGATGCTGCAACAGCATCACTGCCATTTCCTAAGATTAAAATTGTAAAGTTGTATAATTAATTAATTGTTTGAAGAATAAGTTTCTCTGCATTTCTTTAGCGTGCATAATTAATTTATTCTTTGAAAATTAAATTTCACTAGTTTTCTTTTACGTGCATCAATAATCTTTGCATGAATAGAAATTATGTACTTTATGTTTCCTTATATGCAAATAAATAGACAGCATTTAAGATACCTAGATATTTAATTTAAGATAAAGCGGCATACACAGCTTAACACAAGCTGTTTTCAGCTGGGTTCGACAGAATGCTGCAAAGCATGTGAAGGAGCCATTCTACGCGGAGAGAAAGAATCCCTAAGCTAAAACTGACTCTGCGTAATTTACACGTGGAAACGGACTTACCAAGTTGTTAAGCCCGTTCATCAGGCTATTCACACATCATGTTTGTATCGTGTGTGTTCTGCCGCGATGTGTGAACGCATCACTACAGAAGGCAAACCAGTGAACTAAAACTGCCTTTTGTAACAATTTCAAATTCCACATGCAGAGTAACTTTGCGGAGTAGCTTAACACATGCAAAGCATTTTTTGTTCTACGAAGCATTTAAAGAAATGGTCATAATTGATCCATTATCTTGAAGACGGATATATGTGAGTCATATCACCAATTCTGTTTATGTACTTTAACAATTATTTTTTAAAACACGCTTTTAGGGATAGATAAAGAATGACATACTCTGATATTATGCTTCTAAATTTACCAGGATGCTAACAAACTGATGTTTTAAAGAGGATATAACGATAATTTCACATTTTACACTTCCTTAGTGGAAGTTCATTAATCTGTATTAAAGCGTACGAAAGAGTAGTATGCCAATCTGAAATTTAAATTTAGGCAAAATTTAATCGTGAATTTTCGCTTTGATCACATTGCGGTTAACACACCATACTAAAAAGTTGAAAAGTCTTGGGTTCGATTAGCTAGTTTGAGGTCTAGTTGATTTTTCAGGCTTCTTGCTCGTAAAAAATTCATGACTATGCATAAATATAAAATACAGTAAAAGTCTGTTTATACGTTTCTTATTTATACTTTTTTATCAACTGAATATCATTTCATTTCTGCCCCGATTCATTCATGTACACAAAAACAATAAAATATTTCATTTATACGATGCGTAAATATATCTACATGTTTTTGTTAACTAATTTTTCTACGTTATATTAGATAACATCCGGAAATTGTACATTGAAGGGGAGAAACAAAGGTGAGGAATATCACAAGTCTGACTAGTGGATAGGTTTAGTCCCATTTCACCAGGTATCAGAACAGCCGAAAGGAAAATTAGTTTTACTTCAGTCGATAAAGCATCTCCATTTAACAAAAAACAGCACAAGTGAATGAACACCTCCTAACTTCGACCAAGATTTTCTCTTTCTTTAAGATCTTCGTTCACTAATGATCTCCAAAAATAATTATTAATGTAATTATTAATTCATATGGATTTTACTGTACTTAAAAACTGAAATGCAATTTATCTTAAATTAGAAATGCCAACAATATTATTTCTTGCAATTTTAACTTACAAAAATGTCTTTTTAATAAATCTCCTTAATTAAAACTAAAACACGTAGATTTATAATCAACACCTTTGCTTAACAATTACTAAAGTATTTAGTTTATTTAGCTTGCTTAAAATTTCTATTTTTTGCATAATATTCTTTTTAAAAAGAACACAACGGGAAAATTTTCAAATCTGATCTTTTGAATAGGATAATCGCTTTTAATTTATGGTTATTTTATAAAATTTTGGAGCCGCTATTATAAAAAAATATTCCCTTGCTATATATCAGTACTTTTAATAATTATTTAATAGCGAGATAACAGGCGTAACACATAGGACAAATCACTCCTACATGATGTCTCCACTTTAAATACAGTCAATATTAGAGAGTGGGTAAAACTATAAAGATACTGAAAGCGATAATAAGAATGCCTAGAAGATCAACTCGAATTCACTTTCTATACGAAATAAGCGCCTAAAAGGTTATCTCATTTCTTAAGAAGGCACTGCTAAGGTCTTCAGACCCATACAAGGTCAACAGGGCTTTGAAATTTTTAACATCGATTACTTTAAAAGGAAAATATACTACTCCATATTTTTTCTTTCTGTCACATTTACATTTGGCATAGTTTTTCCGTTTATGTTTGAATAAAAATGTAATATAATTAATGAAATACTCAGATGGAATGTAGGATAGAATGAAAAAATATGTGTACCTGGTTCACTCAATGCAAAGCAACCAATTTTCTTCCCGTCCATAAAAGGTTTTAAAAACTTTTTCTTCTGGGAATCGTTTCCGAATTTTTCTATGGCACCTAAATACAATGACTAAAAATAAAGCATAGACAAATTATTATGCAAAATCGCAGTTAAAGAGTTAATGAGGAAGCGAAATAAATAAAATGGGAGTTCTGCTTACACAGTGTACACTGAATATTGTAGCACAAGATGCGCATCCTCTGCTGATCTCTTCCATGGCTACTACATAAGCAACATTATCAAGTCCAGAGCCTCCTTCATTCTCTGGTAGAGTCAACCCCATTAAACCCAGTTTGCCAATTTTCTTTATCTATAATAACGAAACAAAAAAAGATATTGTTGTAAATTATGTAGCTCTTTCTGATTATTTGTATGTAATTTGATTTCCGTGTACTTTATAATGTTTTGGTTTATTTATTTACTGCTTTTATGCAGTAATTTTATATGTATTATTGTATATATATATATATATTAGAATTTGTGGTCTCTTCCTTGTTAATTAACTCGACGAATGGAAGCTGTGAACAGCCGTCAGACGATCATAACTAGACTCTTAGTTTGTTATTGAACTTTCGCTCGATGATTACACTTCGAACTTAACTGTATGGGCAATTTGGGTGAATACATGTAAGAAAGGGTTTTCTTCATATATGTTAGAAGCAATTCTAAACTTCGTCATCACAGCTTCCAATTTTGAAATTTAAAACAGTGGAAGATTTCTGTATTGTATTCACAGCGACGCAATGTTAAAAGAAGTCTGAACTTCATATTCAATAAGACACTTTATAAAGTAGGATTCACATAATTGAAATCAATACGATTTTGGTGCGAAACATATCAACTTAATATTGCGTTCATTATTCTGCACTTCAAGTAATAATTTGTTAATTTATATTCGTAAAATTTTCTAATAATTTAGCTATTATGTAATTTTTTCCTTTTAATTTTATATTCATAAATCCTGAGTACGGAAGAAAGCCTTAGATTTATCAAAGCACTTTTAAGGACAATGAAATTAAAATTAATACTTAATGTGCAAATAACTGTGTTAATAGCTTTGTCATAGTATGCAAGTGAACATTGCCATATTTCAGTCACCAACCAACTTCCTGTTTACAATTTCCCTAAGCTACCCACTTTTGCTTGCTTCTTCTGTTTTGTAAGTTAGCTATTCTAACTTCAAGACGTTGTCGCCTGTTCCTGCTAACATCTTCTTATACTGGATGATGTCAGCAGCATCACAGCATCAGCAATTAGATCGGAGTGCATGGCTTCGTTCCAGATGTCGAGAAGTATGGCGATCTTAAAATGAGTGGCAAGCCCTACGGTTAACGAAGCAAGGAGCGGAAATCTCCTGGGACCAACCCTTATTGAAAGGATCAGCATAGAAAATGTCAGCTTTAGCTTCGTCTTTTTTATACTCCTACGTATAAAAAAATTATATGCTTAAAAACTTATGGTTCTTAGGACCCTCCAATAAGACTCGTGGTCCGCCTCCTTCTCGGTGCGCACTTATTCTCTTTCAAGCTCATAGTTTTTGGCGTCGGTCGCGAGTAGACTTTGTTATCGAAACTTCCTCGCAGTCGACGAAAATACATGCAAATGAAATTCAATTTTGTATCTTCAATCAAGGGTTTATAGGGTTTGATTTCTATACAGGCTTAATTTTTACAATCTGAAATGCTGGAACTTCATGGAAGATTATCAGAAATGGCAGAAAGAAATTAATAAATTGTCAAATTTAAATTAAATTAAATAAAGAGATAAATAAAATATTATAAATCAATAATAATTAGAGGAATAACAAATTAAATTTAATTAATACATTCTGAGAAGAAAGTAAGATGCAAAAACAAAAAAGGCATGGTACTACATTGATGATAAAAGAAAGGTTTCGAAAAGTATGCTTCACAATCATAAAATTGCTTCCTTATTTTAGATTACAACTCATTAAAGCCTTCATGATAAGAGAAGCAGAATTCATAAATATCCCTCTTCTCTAAGTGATAGATTTGTTCCTCTGATCACGCTTATCCATGTATTTTGGTTCTCTGTGAAAATGTGAAATGCACAAGTACGTTCAGCATTATTCATTGTTAAAAGTATGTAATATCAGTGTCAGCTTTATTCATCGTTAAAAGTATGTAATGTCAGTGTCAGCTTTATTCATTGTTAAAAGAAATGTTGAGTTAGTAGCAAAATTTTCTGCCCATATCGCGACTGAATTAAACAACGCAGCACCACAGCTCATTTTACTGAGAACTTCGAATGCGCTCCACTCGAATTGTGCTTTTGCTCTAAAAGTGAAAGTGCAGCTGGACTGTGGATGAGTCCAGTTCAACCATTTGCGGATTTTAATCATATGGTTCTTGCACGTGAAGTTTCATGCCAATCGAATTATTTTCACCCATATGTGCGACTTTTTTTTTTTTTTTTTTTTTTTTTTTTTTTTGGTTGGGGGTGAAAATTAATATTTTTCGTTTTTCTCTTAGATCTTCACTAAAAGCTTAAAATGAACAAAGGTATTATCGTACAAAGTTCCAGGATATCTAATTATTCCATTTCTTCAAAATAATTCGATAATCTTTTTTTTTAACAATACTTTTGTTTCGATATATCAGATATGTCTAAGTAAGTTCATCAAAAGTTTGTTGTTTCGGCTTATGTAAGAGTTAAAAGAAGACAAAATTAAATGAAGAATTTGTACACCGCGCAAAAAAAAAGGGGGGCAGTTTTATATCTCTCGTTCTATTGGGCAGATTGACAAAATGCAACTTGGGTTTTTTATGTCTCGAAAGCGTGACTCATGATATATATTAGATTCAAAAAAAGAACCCAATTTTGTGTCAAAATACCTATGTTAAAAAATGCTTTATATATAAGTCTAATAAAGTCGCGCTTTCGAGACATGAAAAACACAACTTAAATTTCGTGAATCGGCCAAGTAGAACGGGAAATATAGAACAGTGCACCTTTTTTTTTTAACCCAAAAGGTCAAATTTTCCCAGATGGGCTATTAATTTCGTTATGACATTTTGCATTGTTTCACTATAAACTGCGCCTCACTTTTCAAATTTTTGTCACCAAATATTAGAGCTCTGCATTATATTTAAAGAAATTAAATAATGAAGAAAATGAATGTATGTATGCTTTCGCACTGTGAAAAAACAGCGGTACCTAGAAACATCAAATTTTGAATAACGTAGTCTTCCACTCAAATATGGCCATCTGGAAGCCCAAATTTGGAATTTGTTTTATTATCGATTTCATATTTTGTAAAACTAACGAATTTTTTATAAACAAACTCAACGATTTCAAAACGAGCAATGGCATCATTGAACGAAAAAAAAAAAAAAAATTTATCTCCACGCGAGACTGAATATTGGAAATTCTAAAGATATGCTCTTTTTGAATTATTTTGTGATGCTGTTGAGTTGAATTTTATGATTTAGTGCGCAGAACATGATATTTAATAAATAAAGGTAGCACGCAAAACGTTAAAAAAACGCCCTTTTAGACGTAATATAAAATCTGAAAGCTTTCAGTATTTTTTTTTTTTTTTTTTTTTCGCAAGGTGTACATAGCAGGTTCTCTTAAAGTATTACATAGAAGTTCAGATATAAACCAGAAATATTGGATTGTTATAGTAAAGCAGATTTTGGATGGTATGAAGAGGCAGGAGAATCTATAAATGATTTGGCATTACATTACAGATCAGTCAAACTCTCATATTATTCTCCATTAAAAAAAATTAATCCACAATTAGATTTTACCTTAATTTTAGATTTCATACTGACAAAAGTGTACACTTTCTTAACCGAAGTTTAAAACATTGAAATCTGAATAATCTTTTAATAGAATGATAGCAAGTGTTTTAACATGAAAGTATCATTAAGAATTTCGTAATATATATATATATATAAATAATTTTACTAAAATTATGAAATTATACCTGAAATTGTATCTTTTGTATAATGTGATATGAAATGCTTGAAAAAGCGAAGCTCTGCCTGAAGAATAAGGTTACAAGGGCAATTCTTTTGACCACTGAGGTAAAATGCTATCTCGTTAAATTAAAAGACGTATCGCCAAGCTGGCGATTTTTTGAAAAACTTTTTTGTCGCCAAATTTGGCGGAAAATCGCCTAAAGACGCTAAATCTGGTGACCATTTGGCGTTGTTTTGGTTTGGTCCCTGTATAACTGTACTAAGTATTCAAATTGAATAGCTGTAACCATACCTGGGCCTCATGTGTAGCTTTAACCGTATATGCCTTCCAGTAATTTCAAGCAAAGTACTACAGATTTTTCGGGGGCCGGAGAACTACATAAAACCGGAGAGAACATCAGCTCCCAATTGCTTGTTCCGAGCTGACACCGGAATATTGAGATATCCGTGACAGCTTTTTATTTAACGCTTTTAGCAGTTTGAAGAGTAACTATTGATTAGTGTTTCTTTTGGAACAATTAATTTTATCACGATATCATCGGTTCTGTGCGCATTCAAATCATTAAGAACCCGTGCACATATAACAAACTTTGGTACCAGGAGTAGCATAGAATTAAATTAGAGTAACTAAGACTAATTAAATTTAAGTAAATTAGAGTGACTGCCTCTGTTGCATTCGAGTAAAAGATGGAAGGGGCTGACAACTCCCATTAAAGAAGTGATGAAAGCAGTTAAAGTAAAAAATGCAAACGGGTCAAGAAGAGATGAAAGCGAGCTAGTCAAGTCTCTTAAAGTAGAGAGGAAAGCGGGATAAGAATCTGTTAATGAACAGCTGAAAGCTATTCAAGAAAAGATGAAAGGAGCGGTCAAGTCAGTTCAAGAAAAGACTGAAGCGGGTCAAGAGGAAATGAAAAGAGAAATTCCCCCATAAAAGAGAGCAGATTCGAGTCTATAGAAGGAGAATATATAGGCTTGAAAGTAAAGTTGCAGAAACTGAAGAAAGAATTTCTGTTATCGCACAAAATATCGAACAGAAAGTTTCTGCTGACGAACAAAAAAATGGATTTCATAGAAAATTCATAGCGACAGAAGGAATCAATTCTCACGAATTTAAGTATTTACCCATACCTTCTCGACTTTGTCTAAAGCTGGCCACTTATAATGGAAAGAAATCCTGACAAGTATATAAGGCTCAGTTTTCTATAGTGGCGGACGGAAATGGATGGGATTCCAAAGCTAAGGCCTGCTATCCCGCCGCTTTTCTGAAAGCAGACGCAGCGGATATCCTTCAAACTCTGAACGAAAACCAGAGGCTAGACTTTGAAGATCTACTCCGCGCACTGAAGTTGCGCTTTGCAAAGAA